TAGATTGATACCAGCCTCGTCGTTCCCAACCCGCTTCCAACGCCTGGTTACCAGGGTAACTGCACTGATCTCCGGTCTGCCTACCCACGTTGTGAATTGATCTTAGACAGACGAGATCAAACAGGGATTGGGGCCGTAATGCAAGTTGAGTCCAACGGGGGTGATAACACACAATTAAAAATAATAAAAAAAAATAAAATAAAAACTCAAAGGTCCAACGTATCAATCTAAAAAGGTAACAAACTTTTATGTCTACCTTTGCTCGGTACATAGGACTATGTCTACTTCCCGACCCGTTCTGTGGATTGTGGCACGACGCTCTTTACTAGGCAACTTTAAGGCTTCCAGTTGTCTGCTCTCTAAGAAATTTGTGTTTCGGTGTGTCTTTGGACGAAAGTCGAAAAAAAAACTTATTTCTGTGGTCTGATTTAAGTCGCTCTTCAAACTACTTGTTCTTGGTTGAAGAAGAGTCCAGAAGTGTGCGTGAATCTTGGTCAGCTATCTTGACGCGGTTTCAACACTGGGCGCTCATCTCTGCTTGTCGTCCACGGCTCAAACATTCCTGGCCAACTCAAACTCTCTCTTCGCCGTCCGCTTCTCTCTTCTCCGCAAAGTCCGTAGTCTGAATTACTGGTCACTCATCTAAAAAAAAAAGTGCGCGAATTAACTTCTTCTCTTCGGCTGAACCAGGCGTTTGGACGAAACTTCTTCACTTCGGCTTGGGTTGGACGAACTTCTCCACTTAGGCCAAACTAACTATCTCTTGCCCGCAAGGGGGCAATGAACCAGGCCCGCCGTCCGCGCTCAAACTCCCTCGCCGTCCGCGGCAACTGCAACTGATTTCTGTCGGTTGGGGTCCCGCTTTTATTTGAGTCAAAACTGGGGTGGGTCTGTTGGCGCCGGGGTTTTCTTTTGATAATTCTAAATACGTATCCACCCCTTCTTATTTCTGGTTAGGGATTTTCCATTTTCGGTAACTCACTTTCACTCCCACTTCCTTACTGTGCCTCTGGGGGGCGTATACCCGCTTCCCTGCTTCCTTCGTATGTCGGGTGACCCCTCTCGACCAATGGGGACCTGGGCGTCGACCGATTCCTCCTCGTGCGTCACGTGACCGCTCTCGGCCTCGGCCAATGAGGTGACTGGTCGGGTATCTTTTCCTCCTTCCTTCGTGATCCCATCTAGCCAATGACGTCTTTAGTCGGGCGTGGACAATCCGTGGCTTTGTTCTGGGGAAGAAACACCTTGCTTAAAAAAAAAAAAAATAAAATTTAAATCGCCCTTTATCATGAGCGACTGCGATGACATCTTCGGTTTTTTAACACGTGGTATTTGTCAAACAGTTTATCGCTAATTGGATACGATCTAAGAAAAGGAATTTCTCAGACCTGTTGGCGTTTTCGTGAACGAATAAAAATATTTCACTTTTTTTTTTTTCGCTCAAAGGCTTGATAATAAAAATCTTAATTATCTCAAAAAACATTTTCAGCGAACATCATCTTGTGTGGCTTTTTTTTCAATTCTGGAAATTGTCTGGGTTTTGTATTTTTTGTATTAATGGTTTGATCTTCCCCATATCCTTAGATACTATCATTCCAATGACACATTTGTTACTTATCAATATTTTTTTCATTGTCCCTAAAATTTTCGTTTCTTCAACCAATTGATAACAAACTTCCATTTTTTCGTGGACACGGAAGTAGGTCAGGTGCTTGACCTGGATATTTTCGACATCTGTTATGTATCAGTCGAGCGTGTGTGTGTTCGCTCATGACCTGTTTTCGTATTATTTTTTTTTTTTTTCTTTCTTCTTCTCTTTCTTTCTCCCAGATCGCTTGAATGAATGAAAAATTATTCTCAAAACCCAAAATTTTTAAAACCTAAATAATTATCAAATGGTTGACAAACCGTAAAAAAAACAAATCATATATTTATGAATATTTCTTTTCAGCTCGCTAAATTATGCATGGTGCCACAAAGAAAATCGTGCGGATTTGAATTTTGTCCATGGTGTCGAAAAGCCTGCAAAAAAATGAATGAAGAGACTGAGAACGGTAACGAATAACACGATTCGATAGAGCGAAAAACGCGCTTCAAAATGATATATAACATGGCTATATATATCAATGAATTAATTCAGCGATCATATATAAAAGTAACATATGTGAGAAAACGACATTATTTTTGCACCAACCTAATATTTCTATTATTTGTCAAAATAAAAGATGTTTTGTGATTTGTTCCAAGTACAAAAATAAACCAAAGTAAAAAATCAATATGGCGGATATACTTGTTTCTGTTGCATAACGAATTAAAACCTTGACACTGCTGGACCTAAAGCATCTTCTACGTTTTTCAGCGTTGAACAATATTTCAGAAATTGTGGGAAATTCAGCTTTAGTTCCGATTCAGAATTCAGTTTAAGATTTTTTTATAAATTCAAGTTTCAAGTTCGAGTCACCCGATTCCTCAGGAAATTCCTCTTGGGTTTTATAAGGCAGATGATTAATATCAACACTGTCCCTTGAAAATGGTTTCTGATTCGAAGAACTCTTTGAAATTAAAATTCGATATAAATAATAGCGAAACGGTGTTTCTAGGCTATTTAAGTGGTCGATAATAATTGTTACAATTAAATTTTTACAATTATTCTTTTCAATTATAACACAAAAATCAATAACCGGAAACATTTTGAATGAATCCTTTTTCAACCGACTTCTTCCAAATATCGATCTTTTTAATAAAATACTCAGTTTTATCATTCTAAGTAAATACCGTATTTTCCGGCTTACAAGATACTGCGGCGTGGAAGACGCACCCTTATATTAGAAATAAATTTATAAGAAAAAAGTCATTCTCATACAACCACACATTCACCATGCATCCTTCACATACTGACGCCACGTATTGTTTACATTAATCACTCGTCCGATTTTGTTTGTATGGCAATGACATACTAGTCAAGGGCAGAAAGGATCCAGACGCTGCTAGTAAACAGATCATCATTAAGCTTGTGGCTCGGCTCCAGGAAGGTTCATAGTGTTGGAAATTCTTGTAACAGCTAAGTACTGAAGTTACATTATATAAAAGGTTGAATTAGGTAGCTAACATTATAGTGTAATGACTTAACACACAAATCCATGCCCGTATCAGTCAAGCCAACTAGGTGACCGTCCAAGTTTATTTGAGACTGGGCGTTGCCTTACATTCGTCGTGGAAGACGCGCACTTATTTTTCAAGGTATTGTTTAAGAAAAGTGCGTCTTGTATGACGGAAAATACGATATATTGCTTTTCTTTCCTTGAAGAGGAAAGTTGAGATCGTTTAGGTAAATTACTATTATAAAGTGACTAGAACGTTAGTCTTCCGGTTACGGGACCTGTTTTCTCTGGTCGATTTGTAAGGGAGTTTACTTTGATAATATCAGATTGGGGAGACGATCAGCACTCGTGTGATGTGTCTTAAAACTACACCACGGGTTGACTGAAACCTTATTAGTGAGATCGGATAGATGAAGCTATTCGGAAGACGTCCATGATCGAAAACAGAATTCTTCGGGACACGGCGTTTGAGCGTTAAGGTCTTGTTTAACAACTGATCATACAAGATTATGCTCTCTGACTGTAACTAATATACGTTCAACATTGATCCAATATAAACCGCCGTTTGGCTCTGTGGGTGTAGAGAGAACCGCGCATTTGCCTGTGAAGGCGTCTGCAACAGGGATTAACTAGACTCAACTAGCAAACGAACATACTCAAAAATGAGCAAGCAGGAATTTAATCATACAGGAAGTGGTGAGCCGTGCCTCGTTTTCGTTTCCGCCAATGATATCTTTGACGATGAAAACGTCACAGCTGAAATCTACGCACTGGTAAGATAAGTCATTATAGGATGTTGCTTACATACTGGATTTCTTTTTATAAGAAATAGTAAAAACATTATAATTGTTTACCATGTTCACCATAGTCTAGGAATATAGAATACAGCGCTGTACGTAATCTGTTCAATGAAACAACGTTAAAGATTAACACTCACGAGTCAGACACTCTACTGAATCTGACTATATCGCCAATACCACCAGCAGCTGTTCCGTAAGTCTTCGATATCAAAGGCTGGCAATGCATATTCGGAAAAAAAAACTTGGCCGCCTTTATACACGTCGCATTGAATATTTTGAGCCTTTTGATTGATTAACCCTTCTATTGGTGAACTATAAAATAAGTCAGCTCATTTTGGCTGGCTCACTAGTACACCAGGGTACCCAAAAATTCCAACAATAATAATTTCTTTTAAAATATTGTTTCCTGAAGAAGACTGGAAAATAGGCCGGCCGGAACGTCGAGAAATATTTTTTTGTTTTGTTTTTATTTTCTTTTTTCTCTTTCTATGTTTTTTTCTATCCCTCCTCTCTCTCTCTCTCTCTCACACACACACAGCTTCTTTTTCACACTTAACATCTTTTGCTTTTTTCTTTCTTTCCCTTCTCTATCTATCTTTGTATCAGCCTAAAAGCAAGTTTTGTGTGCGTGCGTGTGTGTATTTTTCTCACAACTCTCAATCAAATTATCTCTCTCTCCATCTCCCTCATTCTCTCTCTCTCTCTCTCTCATTCTTTCTCATACTGTTTTACTCTCTCAATCTCATTCTCTCTCACTCTACTCTCACGCTCTGTCATTGCCTCTCTCACTCTCTCTCTCTCATTCTCTCTCACTCTACTCTCACGCTCTTTCATTCACTCTCACTCTCTCTCTCCTACTCTTTCACTCTCTCTATCTCATTCTCTCTCACTCTACACTCACGAGCTGTCATTCAGTCTCACTCTCTCTCATTCTGTCTTACTCTCTCATTATCTCACTCCCTTTCATTCCCTCTTAATCTCTTTCATTCTCTCTCCCTCTGTATCAATCTCTCACTCCTTCGGATTCTCCTTCTTACTCTTTCTTATTCTCTGTGTCACTCTCTCACCCTCACCCGCTCTCTTTCATTATCTCTCTCAGTTATATTTCTCTTGCTTTTGTTTTGACCATTCCCTTTCTTTCTCTCATTCTTTCTTTCTTTCTTTCTCTCATTCTTTCTTTCTTTCTTTCTTTCTTTCTTTCTTTCTTTCTCTCTTTCTCTCTTTCTTTCTCTCATTCTCTCTTTCTTTCTCTCATTCTCTCTTTCTTTCTTTCTCTCTTTCTCTCTTTCTCTCCTTCTTTCTTTCTTTCTTTTGTCTTTCTTTTGTCTTTCTTTTCTGTATTTTCTTCACTATCGACCTTTCTTTCTTTCTTAAATATCGTTTTTTTTTTACTTTTAATTTCTTTCATCTTCTTCCGCTGGAAAAAAAAAAAAACATGCACATCGGCACAATTATTTACTGAGTCAGATAAAAAAAACAAAAGGAATGGGTAAATTACACACAGATTATTCCTAATACAATTTAAATCTCCCAATGTCTTCAACCCCTAACGTCTTCAACGCCCATTGTCTTCAACAGCATCTTCCTTAATCAATCTCCGAAGACCAATTACTTTAATGATTTTGATAGAATGCTGTTTGGGAGTCAAATTTCATTACCGATTTCTTTAACAATAATGATCTCACGTAAATGTCTTCTCTCTCCGCCACTAGATGGCGTTACCCCTCTTTCTTTGATTCCACCTTCATGAAATGTCTAACCTTCTCTCGTTCGACTTAATCGAAACAAGAAGCACAACATTGATTAAAAACTGAACTAACGTGTTTCATTTCCCCAAGTGATCAGTCCTGAGCTTGCCAAAACATTAATACGCATCGTATAAATATTCACTGGACATAGCTGAAAGGTTAGAAGAACGGAAAGGATGGGAAAGGTTCAATTTTCAATACAAAAACATTGTTCTGTAGAGCTGATGTTTCATTAAAATAGAATAATTTGCTATCCTTTGTAAAGCTATCAGTGACAGTTTTATTGATAGAGTGAATACGAAGTAATGATAACTCCCTTTGACCACTGGCTTAAAATTCGGGTGAGCTGTGGAAAATGGAATTCCTGAGCCTATGTAAAAATTTTATTCGGACCAATGAAAACCTTGCCTTAAGAGAAACTGACCGGTGAGTTGGAAAAAAAACAAGAGGGAAATACATTCTTGTGAAATCGTTTTGGGATCAATGGAAATCTTCGCGAAGCTTGTGAAATTATTTTGGGATCAATGAAAACCTTGTCTCCACAGAAATTGGCCATTGAGCCAAGAAGATGGAAGAAAAGCAGGGCGAACCCATGAGAAATTCCTTTCGATATAAAATAAGGAGAAAAATTAAATTAATAAGAGAAAATTGTCTGAAGTCATGTGAAATACTTCGCTTCAGTTCCTTGCGATCAGCGTCCAGCGTTGAAGATTTATCCAGTGGAAAATTACTCGACAATTATATTATTGGCCTTAACCAAGCACGCGGTACTTCAAAGATCTTTATTTCAACAATCCAAGAAAACTAAATCTTACAAAATATCTCCTTTCGTATTCTTTGAAATTATGCAACAATATATTCACTTCTGTTAGCAACAAACTGTCTTAACTTTGTTTTAAAGATTGTTTAATGTTATTTTAGATTAGATCATTTAATTTATTGTATAAACATTTCCTCCTCATTACAATTCGTTAAAACTACGGACTTTAAAAACCTCTTCTTTATTTTTTCTGAAACGAGCTCCTGGCAGAACATTCAATCGCGTAAATTCGTAAATAAATTCCTTATTTTGTTTTGTTAAAATTACCCGCGTGTTTCCTAGCCATTATCATCCGCCATTAATCTTCTTGGCGTGGGTAAATAAAATGTTATTAACTACTAAGCTTCACACCGCTATATCTTTAATATCAGCCAAATATGCTGTCAATAGCAAATTTCATGACTTGTATACGATGGTTAACCGACTCGAAAATCAGGTCTGTTATTCTCTATACATCATTTTCATTCGATACTAAAACTAATCAGCGAATATGTTACCGTATGAGAAACATGGGCCCAGTCTTTCTCCTAGCCTCAGCAGGTAGATTAAATGTAAATCCACAAGTTCTGCTCTTAGGATTGTCGCATGGGATATTAGCCTAAGGAATTACTTCTAATCATTTTCTAAAAAAAACGAGCATACCATGATGAAAAAAGGGCCCGAACTTGATAAAAATGTTTTATTGTCAAAATGTTTTGATAGATAGATAGATAGATAGATAGATAGATAGATAGATATGAATATACTAGTATAGATAAATAGATATGAATATACTAGTATAGATAGATAGATAGATAGATAGATAGATAGATAGATAGATATGAATATACTAGTATAGATAGATAGATATGAATATACTAGTGTAGATAGATAGATAGATATGAATATAATAGTAAAGATAGATAGATAGATAGATATGAATATACTAGTATAGATAGATAGATAGATAGATAGATAGATAGATAGATAGATATGAATATACTAGTGTAGATAGATAGATATGAATATACTAGTAAAGATAGATAGATAGATAGATAGATTTTCTATAAAAAAAAAAAATGAACATACCACGATGAAAAATAGTCCCGAACTTGATAAAAACAAAGTTTTAGCGTCAAAATGTTTATGTTATTCTTAAGAAGAAAGACCATAGGATAATTTTTATTCTTTTATTAAATTTTTAAAACACGTTCGAAAATTTTCTTTAAATTTGTCAGATGGATATTTTTTTGCATCTGTTTCCCCCACCCACTTACTTAATTTTATGAAATTTCGCGAAATTAAAATGCTTAAAAAATCCTTGCAGATTTTACAAAAACAATTCGTTTTGATCAAACAAGAACAACACTTACTGAAAGACTGATCTGAATCGTAAAAGAAAGCAGTACAACTCTGATATTATTTGATTAGAAACCCTCTCAACTGCTTTTGTAAATGCAGTATATTAACGATAAGAAAATATTGAAAAAAGAATTGTTTTAATTTTTCTTTATTTTAATTAGAAAAATTTATTAAATTTTAAATCCTTTAAAATTTTATATTAATTTCAGCATTTTAGATGATATTTTTAAGTGAAAACTATAGTTACTAAGCACAAAGAGACAATCTTAATACAAATCATCAAACACCGATATTTTTAAAAGAATTTTGATTTTTTTTTGTATGTGCATAAACGTTGATAACTATAACTATAGTAAATTTTGAACTATTTACATTATTCGGACTATTGTTCTAATCTCTGTCGCCATATTTATCACAGTGTTTCGGCCTTCTTCAGGTGGTTGGAATGTCGAACTGAACTCTTTATTTCGCTCACTGCGGTAGACTGCTCTTGTTCCACGTGCCATGTTTTAATGGATGTCAGTTATCAGTTATCTCCTGTTAATTTCCTTCTGAAAGTTTTCCACTGTCTTAGCCGGGTATTGAACACATACATTTAGGTCCTGTCACTGGATCTAACTAACGTCTTTATCTACTGTGCCATGTGTACTTGAGGACATCTGTGCATGAATTTCTGGGTATTATAAAACTAATATCTTCAGCAAACATTTTTTACCAGTGCTCATATTGCAATTTTTGCTGTTATCATTGCATGTTATCATTGCGAATAATGTAAATAATGTACATAATACCTCATCTCAGAAATATAGACAGATTCTCTTGATTACTTAATTTTGGCATAAAATAGTTATGGGCAAGAAGAAAGATTTCAGTCATTTTTAAAAAAGACTAATTGTTAAAAGGATCTCAGTTATCAGTTAGCTCCTGTTAATTCCCCACACCAAGTTCTCCACTGCCTTAACTGGGTATTGAACTCACACTCTTTGAGTCCTGTTACTGGATCTAACCAACGCCTTTATCCACTGTGCCATGTGTCCTTGAGGATTTTCCAGCCATCTAAAGAAGGCCGGAGCGTACAACGGCCGAAACGTTGCGATAAATATGACGACAAAGATGAGGACAATAGTCCGAATAATATAGATAGTGTACATAATACCTCATCTCAGAAGTATAGACAGATACTGAAAGGCCGAAATGGTGTAATAAATATGGCGACAAAGATGAGGACAATACTCCGAATGGTGTAAATAGTGTACATAATACCTCATCTCAGAAATATAGACAGACACTGAAAGGCCGAAATGTTGTAATAAATATGGCGACAAAGATGAGGACAATAGTCCGAATAATGTAAATAGTGTACATCTCAAAAATGTAGACAGATAGTAAATTTAAAGTCTACATTTCTAAAAGTCGATAAAACATTAGACTACAGAGAAAATTTCCCTTTACTTATTATCATAAGTTATATATAAAAAGGCGCTCACGTCAATTTCTTCAATTATGTTTTACAGATAAAGTCTCCGTAGAACAACAATAGATCTGTCATCAAGGCGTCAACTTGTCAAAACACCTACTGTCAGGATAAAAAAAATAATTTCTGCGATATTTTAAACTGAAAGTAAACAATATTTGTTTCAAATCAGATCCATTACACTTTAAATCAGCAAATAATCCTCAAATAAAGTTTCAGAAAAAGCATATTTTTGGAATATTTTTTTTGATAAAGAAAATTACTTTGCGATAAACACGGGCTAAAAATGGTGCTGAATTCAGATTTTTTTATAAAAGAAAAAAGCAAAAAATTCTTCGAGTCAATTTAAATTAGTTTTGAAACAGAACATCGTATTTTGCATATTGGAAATATTGACATTAATCTTGAAATTACAACCAAGATTGTGAGTTCAGTGCAGATTTAAACTCAGTGTAAACGAGTTGAGCATTTTTAAATAAGTGACATCCACCATGTACTAGGCCCAGGAGCCACTTGAGGTAGAGTTATACTGAGTAAGTGCCACAGTTTATGCTGATATTTAGGGAAGATAACGGTTAACCCTTGACTTGGTTCGCGGAAAGAAGCACGTCTGGACGTTCCTTCTGTCCAATGAAATACGATGGAAATAAGGGTGGCTTGCTACAACGTGCATACAATGGCGGGCCATAGTTATGAAAGTTTGATCTGGTGGAACTAAGGAATGTAGATAGTCTGAGAACTTTGCCTGGAAATATCGATAGAGCAGCGAGAGTTTTGCGACGTTTTGTCTATGAGAGAAGGGTTAATAGATGCTGTCGAGGCCAAAAGTGAGGACCTGCCAGCTCCTGCTCAAATATGGCAACATTACTCCGTTTTAAGCCTGATCTGGCTCTTGTAAAGGTAGAGAATATCAGGAAGAGTCAGATACATACAGGGAACCGAATCATTTCCAACATCTTTAGAGATGAGGCCTGTGTGGAGCTTAGAGCCCAATTTTCGCTAATGGCAAGGGGCCTCCCCGAGTAAACATCCATTGTCATTGGTGAAAGTTCTGGGTTCGATTGGTGAAGGTGGAATGTACGACAATCTACCACCGTAAATTAAATAATGCCTTCATTTCGAAATTACCCGGATCGACAAGCTCCTGATGAAGAGCAGAAGACAGAAAGGAAGAAACGTTGTGCTAACAAGAATAAAGATGAAGACATTTCTCCACATATAAATAATGGAGAAAATGTTGAAATAAAGCAGTACTAGATTAGCAATATTATCTCATAAATTTGCAGTAGAATTGGCTAGATGCAAACGTAAGTTCTATGCTAACAGTTTCTTCTGTCGCACTTCTCGCTTGTAGAACACTGTTCAGGCTTTTTGATTTCCAGCCAACTTTGATCTTCCAAAATTTAAATGCAATCCCAATCGTTACATAATGTCTACTTGATTACTCTTCTATTGTGCGCAATGCTTAATAATGTTTCTGTTTTCTAATTCTTTCACACTCAGTGACTTAGTGGATTTATTCGATTAAAAAAAATAGAATATTTGTAAACATAAAGATTACCACCATCACAATAGCCGCTGGGATGATAAATAAATTTTTAACTACCCATAATGAACAATTGACCAGCATATATATATATATATATATATATATATATATATATATATATAAGTGAAATTGAAGTCAATGGTGGTAAGTTTAGAAGGTTGTTTCATTTACACGCAATCGTTAGCATGAAAAAAGCCTGTCGCCTTAAGTGTTGAATTTCATTTATATTTTATATTTATATCTATTTGATATTAAATGTTGTGTTTATCCCATAAATATAGCACACCTTAAGACTATATATATATATATATATATATATATATATATATATATATATATATACAAATTGTCATTTTAAGCACGGCCTGAAAGAACACATTTGGGGTTGACTTCTTCAGTATCAATGTTATATTAGCATACATACATCTATATAGATAGATAGATATATATAGATAGATAGATAGATAGATAGATAGATAGATAGATAGATAGGAGAAAAAGAGAGAGAGATAGAGAGGTTTTTGTACACGGATGGGTGTGATGAACACACTTATCCGTATTGAAGTCAATTTATCTTGAGGGCCATGGTGAAATCAACATGTCATCTAAATCTATTTAATGTCAGCCCTATGTGTCTCCAAGTTCAGGCTACCTTTAACGTTCGACTCAAATGAAAGTGAACAGTATCAAAAAACACTAACTGTTATATATATATATATATATATATATATATATATATATATATATATATATATATATACACGCTCGCGTCCAGAATATATTTAGATGTTTTTCCACGCTGCACAATATTATTATAGAAAATCGTGTCGTTTATCTGACTTACCGCCTTCTAACTAGTTTGTTTATTCCAACGTGTCCGCTTCTTCCAACATACACTGCCTTTTCTTCCGCGAAAACTTATTAGTTAAAAGTTATCAATGAATGTTCCAACCTTAACCTTTTACAGTAACGGAACCATTATATTGCTCATCTGGTGATTTTCTGTTCATTCAAACATCAGATAGATAGATAGATGATAGATAGATAGATAGATAGATAGTGAACAAACTGAGATAGATAGATAGATAGATAGATAGATAGATAGATAGATAGATATTAGATCGATCTTATTATAAAACGCAGATTGTGTGTGTGTGTGTTTGTGTGTGTGTGTCTGTAACATTTATATATTGGATCGGATTTCCTACATTTTTCAACCGATTTCAACAAAGCTTCACAGGACTACATAAAATTACCTTGTGGTGGTTCTAATAGCGCCAAAAATGGGAAAAATATAATTCTTTTTGCACAAAATCAATTTGAAAAAAAACGATTAAGAGACATCGTGAAAATGGAAGGGGACAACTCACATCGGGTTGTTTTGTGTGTGGGTTCCTTTAAATATGGGATCGGATTTCCTATATTTTTCATCCGATAAAAACAAAACTTTTTTTTTTTTTTGACAGGTAGTGTTTCTTATTCTCTGCACACTTTTTCTTTATTTTTAATATTCAGAATGCTTTAAAAAATTCCATTTACAAGACAATTATTTATAATAAAATTCTATTCAATCAGGAGACTCATAACGATTGAAAACAGTGTTTTTGTTTGAGTTTGGGTTTGACCAATTCGTAAAAAAAAAAAAAAAAAATAATTAAGACATGCGTGTCCGTCAACCTTAAACAATAATCTAACGATCTCTACTGATTGTACGAATACAAACATCGGATAAATTCTTTATCTTTAGGGAAAGATAATGAAATCTAAACATACACAAGTCCTAACTAAAATAATAACCGGAACGGGAAACTACTTTAAATACACATGGTGTCCAATTTTTTTACTGTATTCAATAAGTAAAAATCATAAATTGTAAAAGATTATTATTACAGAAAGGCTACTAAATGAATAAGATTTGTTAGATCATAATTAATAAACCCAAATAAAGTTAATATTTTTTGTATTAGAAACAACGAGTGGAAAATATATTCAAATCAGAATTCTAATTATGAATCACCACAAGCAAAATATGCATTTTTTTTTACTGTATTCAATAAGTAAAAATCATAAATTGTAAAACTAAAAGATTACAGAAAGGCTACCTACATTTTTCAACCGATTTCAACAAAACTTCACTTTTTTTTTTTTTTTTTTGGCATGTAGTGTTTCTTATTGTCTTGCACACTTTTTTCTTTATTTTTACATTCAGAATGCTTTAAAAATTCCATTTACAAGACAATTGTTTATAATAAAATTCTATTCAATCGGTAGAGACTCATAACGATTGAAAATAATGTTTTTTGTTTGTTTGGGTTTGACCAATTCGTAAAAAAAAAAAAAAAAAAAAAACGGGCTCTACTGCTGGTAGATAATGAATAGACTGGGATAGTGTAAGCGCTCTGAAAGCAAAGGAAATGTTTGTCGCAGATTGCTTCCACAACGCAAAGAATAAATCACTGTAAGTTCAGACTCAAATATCGGGGACAGAAAGAAATGCCGTAAACTCGATTCACAGGTACTATCTCACAAATCCCAATGCACGTAACCAGTAAGAAAAATATTTTTTTTCCTCCCTATTCGAGAACACCAACTGCTTTTATTGGCCGAGCATTTTTTCATTCGTCGACAACTGGGAGAGAACGGCATTTTATTGCATATCAAAATACTTTTATAGAGACTCCTGTTACGGACTTGTTTTTAATCTAAATATTCCGTCTTCATGTCATGCGGAATACGTGACCATTTTTTTCTTTTTTTTTTTTGTAAGTAATGTTCTTTTCTGTCGTAGGATACACGCGACGCGCTGTCACTTGCATTGACGAGGTAAGTCGCCATTTTCTTCGCGATAGATAGATAATGAATAGACTGGGATAGATAGATAGATAGATAGATAGATAGATATTTCTCGCCAACTTCCTGTCCCTTATATCTTTTAGCAATATTTCTTTTTTCTGTTATCTCTCCTAGTCCCTGTTATATCAACTATTTACCCAAGCGTATCTACCCCGAGGTGAAAAAATCTGTGACTCGCAAGGTAAGGTTTACTTACCAACTTGCCTATTTCACAATGCTGCAAAATCCAGTGAAAATCCAATTAGACTTCAATTTTTTTTCACGTGGAAAATACGACATATCAATGTCGAATGATGTTCATAAAATATCAAAATAAATCTCATTTATGAGCAATGCAACAAGGAATCCTTTATATCATTTGTAGGCAAGCAGTCTTGGCAGTGATTCCATAAAAAAATATAATTCCGTCAAGAGAAATTACATTATGAAATTTCTTCTTCCATGTGCCATGTCCCACCCGGGCGTGGCCTATTCTATTTCTCTACAACTTCCAGTCTTTTGCAGCTCTTAACAACGTTTCCTTTCTGCTACGTCTTGATCCCTGTTCTGCCAACCATTTACACAGACTCTGTTATTTACATTATCCGGACTATTGTCCTCATCTTTGTTGCCATATTTATTACAACGTTTCGGCCTTTAAGTATCTGTCTATATTTCTGAGATGACAATTATTAAAACACTAAAAACATTATCGGACTATTGTCCTCATCTTTTTTTGTATATTTATTACAAAGTGAATGGCCTTTCAGTATCTGTCTAAATATTTCTGAGATGAGGTAATTATGTACACTATTTTACATTATTCGGACTATTGTCCTCATCTTTGTCGCCATATTTATTACTACGTTTCGCCCTTTCAGTATAAAATCTATATGTCTGAGATGAGGTATAATTACACTATTTACATTATTCGGACTATTGTCCTCATCTTTGTTGCCATATTTATTACAAAGTTTCGGCCTTTCATTATCTGTCTATATTTCTGAGATGTGTATTATGTACACTATTTACATTATTCGGACTATTGTCCTCAAATTTGTATGCCATATTTATTACAAAGTTTCGGCCTTTCAGTATCTGTCTATATTTCTGAGATGAGGTTATTATGTACATTTATTTACATTATTCGGACTATTGTCCTAATCTTTGTCGCCATATTTATTACAACATTTCGGCCTTTCAGTATCTGTTTATATTTTGAGATGGATTATTTTGTACACTATTTACATTATCCGGACTATTGTCCTCATCTTTGTTGCCATATTTATTACAACATTTCGGCCTTTCAGTATCTGTCTATATTTCTGAGATGAGGTATTATGTAGACTATTTACATTATCCGGACTATTGTCCTCATCTTTGTTGCCATATTTATTACATGTTTTCGGCCTTTCAGTATCTGTCTATATTTCTGAGAAAGGTATTATGTACACTATTTACATTATTCGGACTATTGTCCTCATCTTTTGTTGCCATATTTATTACAAAGTTATAAGATTTGTATCTGTCTATATTTCTGAGATCATTTATTACACTATTTACATTATTCGGACTATTGTCCTCATCTTTGTCGCCATATTTATTACTACGTTTCGCCCTTTCAGTATCGGTCTATATGTAAAAGATGAAAATTATGTACACTATTTACATTATTCGGTCTATTGTCCTCATGTTTGAGATGACATATTTATTACAATCTTTCGGCCTTTCATTATCTGTCTATATTTTGAGATGAGGTATTATGTACAGTATTTACATGATTCGGACTATTGTCCTCATCTTTGTCGCCAAAATTCACAACGTTTTGGCCTTTTCAGTATCTGTATATATTTCTGAGATGTGGTATTATGTACACTATTTACATTATTCGGACTATTGTCCTCATCTTTGTCGCCATATTTATTACTACGTTTCGGCCTTTCAGTATCCGTCTATATGTATGAGATGAGGTATTATGTACACTATTTACATTATTCGGTCTATTGTCCTCATGTTTGTCGCCATATTCATTACAACGTTTCGGCCTTTCATTATCTGTCTATATTTCTGAGATGAGGTATTATGTACAGTGTTTACATGATTCGGACTATTGTCCTCATCTTTGTCGCCATATTTATTACAATGTTTCGGCCTTTCAGTATCTTTCTATATGTCCGAGATGAGGTATTATCTACACTATTTACATTATTCAGTCTATTGTCCTCATCTTTGTCGACATATTTATGACAACGTTTCGGCCTTTCAGTATCGGTCTATATATCTGAGATGAGGTATTATGTACAGTATTTACATTATTCGGACTATTTTCCTCATCTTTGTCGCCATATTTATCACAACGTTTCGGCCTTTCAGTATCTGTCTATATGTCTGAGATGAGGTATTATGTACACTATTTACACTATTCGGACTATTGTCCTCATCTTTGTCGCCATATTACAACGTTTCGGCCTTTCAGTATCTGTCTATATTTCTGAGATGAGTTATTATGTACACTATTTACATTATTCGGACTACTGTCTTCGTCTTTGTTGCCATATTTATTACTGCATGACTAAAAACTGTGTGTACGCTATCCCGTGCAGCTGCGGAAAGTAATATAAAGGGAAGACAGGCCGCCCTCTTAAGATAAGGCTTCAAGAACACCAGAAAGCTGTAACACGAGTGGAATTGGAAAAATCAGCCCTGGCTGACTACATATGAGGTGAGAAGGGAAATCACCGCCCTCTGTGAGAATAGGTTGAGATCATAGATAAAGAATATCATCGGAAAATACGTAAACTTAAGGAATCAGCACATATGCTCGGCCACGAAAATCTCCTGAGCCGACCAAGAATAGAAATGAATACAATATAGGAACCAGTAATAAGGATGCCAGAGAAAAAGCGATAATAACAACAAAAAATGCAATATGAGCTCTCATAAAAATGCAATGATAACAACAAAAATTGCAATATGAGCACTGGTAAGAAGGTTGATGAAGACATTAGGTTTATAATACCCAGGAATTCATACACAGATGTCCTCAAGGACACATGACATAGTGGATAAAGGCGTTGGTTAAATCCAGTGACAGAACCCAAAGAGTGTTAGGGCAGAACTTGGAGAGGAGAATTAACAGAAGATAACTGACATCCATTAAACATGCTAGAACAGAAATAAAAGGTTCAGTCCGATATTCCAACCAAGAAAGCCTGAGCGTACAACGGCCGAAACGTTGTAATAAATATGGAGACAAATGATGTTAGTTTAATGGATGTTAGTTGTCAGTTATTTCCTGTTAATTAATTCTCCTCTCCAAGTTCTCCACTGCCTTAGTGACAACTGACACCCATTAAACATGGTATTATGTACACTATTTACATTATTCGGACTATTGTCCTAATCTTTGTCGCCATATTTATATTTAGAAATAAACACAAGTCTCTTCACATGGCTAAAAGAAGCTGAGATGTCAATTTTCAAACTCTTCTGTCTAAATCTCCAGTTTATTCTGCATGAAAGCAAGCCAAGCGTCTTCACAGTATCGCTCGAAGTGTGGTTGCTTGATTGGGTTAATATCAATATAATCAAATCTGACGAACGACTTTTTTACCTTCCGAAGTGTTTCGGTACGATCCAAATAAACTTTCTGATTGTGACACTGAAGATGAGGATAACAGTCCGAATAAAGTAAATAATCATAATACCTCATCTCAGAGATATAGACAACCATTATATCACTAGAACTTAGTCACGGTATCAGCGTGATATGTCCTTGTGAATATGGCAATGAAGATGAGAATAACAATCCGAATAATGTAAATAATGTAAGTAATCATAAAACCTCATCTCAGAGATATAGACGGTTATATTAACCAACGTCTTTATCCACTGGGTCATGTGTCCTTGCGAATATGGCATTGAAGTAGAGGATAAAAGTATGAATAATATAAATAATGTAAGTAAACATAATACCTCATCTCAGAGATATAGTGGACAAAACATTGTGAATATGGCAATGAAGATGATGATAACAGTCCGAATAATGTAAATAATGTAAATAATGATAATACCTCATATCATAATCATAATGCAAGTCCTCAAAGACTATTTCTTTAAAAAATAAACAGTAATACCAACATTTCGATCAATGAATTCTGAATGTTTCAATTGACTGTCTGCTTTCAAAAGTAACATTCAAAATGTTGGCTTTTATTTTTCGAGAAATAAGAACCTTAATCTAGACAGTAGAGTAATGAATAGCGGCTCGGATTGAGGAATCGGAGAGCCGAGATCGAGTCCTAGTCAAATCCATTACATTCACTCAAGTGCTAAACCCCATGAAAAAGGTACGAATCCTCTTCTTCTCTCCCACCCACAACCAGTTATGGGTAAATAGCAGGACAGACAGGGTTCTATAGCCTTGGATGGCAACGGGTCTACCGCAGAAAGAAATGGCAACCTACTGCGAGAAAAATCTGCTTCGTCCACTCATAGCACATAACTAACTGAATCCAGAATTTAGCACCAAATAAAGTGAAAGAGGCGAAATATATGTACTGCCGTAGATGCAGTTACTTACCTAAATATTAAAAACCAATAAATAAATGAACGTAAATATTAATGTATAAATGTGTTGCTTGACTTATAAGAGACCCCAAAAAAGAAAAGCTAGCGAATATTTGAAAAGTCTCCCGTTACTCACAAATCCAGCACACGTATTGCAAATCCTAGAGACAGTTGACGCTAATCTGGCATCTCGTTTACAGTCGCTCATACACAGGCGTGCCGTCACCTCTCTCTGTCTTTTCTACAAATACTTTCAGGATAACTGCTCCGACGAGCTATTTTAGCTCGTTCCCAAACTGCATGAATTTAAACGTGCCACAACGTCGGCATCTCAGTCCCACCCTTTCACTGTCGAAACAGTTAAATGTAACCGTCTCTTTTACTCCAATAGCTTCATGTCTCGCACTTCCCGTCTGTGCAACTCCCTTCCTCTTACTTGCTTCCCTGATAGCTATAATCTGAAACTATTCAAATGCAATGTCAGTCGACATCTCCAGATGCCTTGATCTATTCCCCGTCCTTCTCTTCATCCTTTCCTCTTTCACACCTCTTTACTTTTGCTCCCACTTTCTGTAACTCCTTTCGTGGTAGTGGCACTCCCGCCTTCCTTGGGGTGAATAGTTTTAAAAAAAATGTTCACGGTGTCGACTCCAAATCTATTCCCTGTCTGACATACTATTTAGGAGAGAGAATGGAAAAATAAGCCAGCAATTTGCGTCGATATTTACGATATTCAATCTCTTTCTCTCACCCTTCTCTGAAACAACGTGAAGCCAACATTTGATGATGGAATATTTATAAGGTTAATTTAGAACAGGAAAATACTACACAATTCCAGAGATGTGCCGTTTTACATATATGTCTTTTATTTTTTTTATTTATTTTTCTTTAGTCGACATTTGCACATCTGATGCCTTTTCCATTTCCGAACATCATTTAAAATCCTATATTAACTTGCAAACATATTTCTTTCAATTTGTTTTTAAAGTAAACACAGACTATAGGAAAATTTGATTAAGCAACTTCCGGGTACCACAAACAGAATTTTGTTTTAAAATTTATTTATTTTATTTAACATACCATAATTGTTTCAATCTTGATGGAATATATACGTCGGAAGTAACTATTTGTTAATAACACTAGACAAACAAATTACGACCATTACTATTTCATAAATAGATATGAACTGAGATAGATAGATAGATAGATAGATAGATAGATAGATAGATAGATAGATATTGGAAAGACTCAGATAGATAGATAGATAGATAGATAGATTTCATCCTATTTCTGGTCTTGTCTGTGAAGCCATCAGAAAGTACTTGCTATGTATGTCCTTCCGTTGTTACATTTATCAATTCTTCCTGTATTTTCTTCCGCAATATTTGGTTTTATCTACCAAATATTTCGCATTTCCTTCATTTTTTCCCCCTTCCTGATTATCTTTAGCAGGTTTTCTAACATCTAAAGATATATCCCTCTGGCGCCTCCCTGTTGAAAAATGATATACAATTTTTTCCTGGTCGACCATTCCTACAACAATCAGTTTGATACTTACTGTACAAAGCAAAGAGGAGGAAATAAGTAAATAAAAGACAAAGTTCTTCTAAAATCGCCATAGGAATAAAGAATTTATTTTTTTTGGTGGGGGGGGGTCAATAATTATGAATTTATGGTAAGATAGCGATTATCCAAGCGTAGTATTTGATCCATTTAAGTCCAAATGTATTTGGTACCTAGCAAAGGATTGAACTCATTTATCATTCGTAAAATGTTTTAGCGAGACAAGCTTGCTAACTATTGCACCACATCATAAAATATGCATTAAAATTAATTTTTGTTTTGCAAAAACATTTTTGTTGTCAACGAATATTCTTTTACAGACAAGTGCGATCAACGAATACACATCTACCTTTCCTCTGTTTCTCTAAGTAAGATTGCCCATTAACAACTCTTTTGTCCTTGTTCTGTCATCTATTCATCCAAATTCGATAAGTAGTTTAATCTCTGTTTCTCCTTGCTTCTCTTGTCCTTAGTATGTCCCGAATATGATCTTAACAAAGAAAGGTCTTCTTGAATCATTATGAGAATACCAGATATAGAAAATAGAACAGAAATGGTGATATAAATATAATAGAGGATATGGATATTTTTTCTAAAATACTTTTTCGGGATAAAATGTTTATGGTTATCCACAGATTCCTATCTTTTTTGGCTTTTCGTGGCATTTCTCCCATTGCGAAGCTTCCTGTTTCCCTTCCCTGCCATCCATTCAGACATGCTCGTAAGCAAGACTTTGTCTATCTACACCAAATCTCTGTATGTACTCAAATATATTCATGTGTGAAGAATCAAGTTCTCTAAGCTCTCCTAAACTCATTATATGTCTAAGAATCTTCAGCTGTTTGAATATAAGCATTTATTTTGTTGCTATCTTGCTCAAGACAAGCGAAACTTACTCACTCTGTCCATGGAATTCTCATCATCCTTCTGTAGAATCACATTTCTCCTGTCACCAGTTTTCTTTTCATCTGTGGGAAGATTGTTAACATTGGACCAAGAAAACTTTGCATATCACTTTTTGGTTATAGTAAAATAATTGCTTTTTTTTAACTTCTTTTCCTTTTTCTTAGTATTTTGTTTAACTTTGGGAAAGTAACTATAGCGTTCGGATCTCGGTGTCCCGTTTTCTTTCATTTGACATCTTCCCTGATATTTCCGTTCCTGGTCATGGTTAGATCTTCTTTTCACTTTCCTTTACTAATTTATATCTGTGGATTAATTTTCGTAACATTACCTAAGAAACCAGGTGCAAAGGAATGCGAACTCCATTGGTGTTATATAACGTACCTATGAACACTAATGGGTATGTCCCAATTCTTATAAATACGTTGGACTCTATTGTAAGTGTGTATAATATGCTAAGTAGCCCACCACTAGCAGTGGTTTACCTACTTCACGTCGCTGGCGAGTATTGTATTTTGTTGATGTTATAAAGATTACCATTTCATTTTCAACCTCCGTTTGGGTTATTCTTCATTCAGTAGCCTTTTCTAGGTTACAACACTTCTTCCTCATTTTTTATATTCTTTTGCCATTGTCTCTTTTTTTCTTCTTCTTCATCTTTTATAATCAAGCAAAAAATTGTCTTTTTTTTTTTCTTCTTCTTCATCTTTTATAATCTTTAATAAAAAAATCTCTTTTTTCTTTTGAGGATATTTTTTATAATCTTTTTTATTGTCTCTTTTTTTTCTTCTTCTTCATTTTATATTTTTATATTTCTTTTTTCTTCTTTTCATTTTTTTCAAATTCAATTCTTTTTCTAGGTTTCTTCTTCTTCCCGGTTCTTCTCCTCCTCCTTCTTCTTCTTTTTTATATTCTTTTTGCCATTGTCTTTTTTTCTTCTTCTTCTTCATCTTTTTAATTCTTTTTCCATTATTTTTTTCTTTCTTTCTTCTTCTTCTTCTTCCTCCTTCTTCTTCTTCTTAAAAATTCTTTTACCATTGTCTCATCTCTGACTTTTATTTTCTTCTTTATTTTTAGATATTTTTTGCTTTTTGATATTGACGTTTTCTTTTCTTCTTCATCTTTCATAGTCTTTTGTCATTGTCTCTTTTTTCTTCTTCATCTTTTATATTCTTTTGTCATTGTCTGTTTTTCTTCTTCTTCTTCTCCTTCTTCTTCTCCTCCATCATCTTTTATATTCTTTTGCTATTGTCTCTTTCTTTTCTTCTTCATCTTTTATAGTCTTTTGCCTTTTGTCTCTTCCTCTGTTTTCTTTTTGTTATATCGCGTACCTATGAACACTTATGGCTATGTCCCAATCCTCATAAATACGTTGGATACTATTGTATTTCAAATTAATAAACTGTTACAATATTCTTCGTGGGAGACATATCTTTTGATAAATATATAGTTCTGCCTTGAGCTAGGAACATGAAGAGGCTATGCCGAAAAGGAAGAGTTTAATCCTTAGTTAAGATGGTAGACAGTTCATACCCACAGTGGTGTAGCTAAAGTGTGGGGGGGCAGAGGGGCGGACCGCCCCGGGTGCCAGCACAGGAGGGTGACACAATGTCACCCCAACAAAATTTTTCAACCAGGCTAAGGTGCCAAAAAATAGTCTGAAAACAGTGGTGGAGACACAGGGTTTTTCGCAGGCAGGCATATGACCCCCAGAAAATAATTTATGACCCCCCAAGTTTTATCCCCCTGTCAGAAATTTTCTAATAAATTGTCGGGAAATTTGTGAGTAGGAAAAATAGCAATGTTTTCAGCTTTCATGTGTTTCAGTTGCTACAATCTTGGTTACTAACAAGAGACATTGTTGTAACATTTTATCGGATGATATGGTGTTTTAACTCTGCATCATTAATAACAACAAAGCGAAAAACGAAGCCAAAAGTGCAACAATTTCAGTCTTGCCTGTGTATCAATTTGTTGAGATACAGTTTTCCATTGAGTGAGCGATATACTCTTGAATATATCTACTAGTGTTGGGACGATTAATCGGAATCGGAAATCGGAAAAATCGGAACTTTCGGGGGTATCGGAAGGGGTATCGGAATCGGAAAATTTGTGCCTATTTTCCGATTCCAAAAACGATTCTTTTAAATTTTTAACTTAATTTTCCATTATTGGTAATAATGATAAATATTTATTGTTTTTAGATTATCACTAAAACTAAAATCATAACAGCATCAAAATACGATGTAAATTTATTTTACTTGTATAAAGAAAAACAAAAAAAATAAACTTTGCATAAATTCTCTAGGTAACCTTTAAATTAAAAGAATGCAATGTTCCGAAAAATGTTTAAAAATTAAATAGAACATTTTTGTCAAGAAAAATACTTTCAAACATCATTGATAATTAAAAGTAATGAGGTAAATAATTTGTTCATTTAAATGGAAACCGAAATTATTTCACTTCCTTCCATCCGTAGAAAGAATTATCCTCCCGTAAGTTATCTAAACGTCATGAAAATGTCTTTCGTCACTTGTCAAACGACGCGAAAGGTTATGACCTGCTTTGTTTTATTTTCAAATTACATTTTTTCGGCGCAGAAGCTAAGTTAAGCTTGGTTCAAAATATTTTAAATAAACATTATAGTTTCTGATTTTATTAAAATAAGTTTTGAAAAAATGATAATTGATTTTTAAAAGAATATCAAAGTCAGATTTTCATCTTTTTATAAAATGGAAAAAAATGATTGAAAATGATTGATTATCTGTCCTTTTTTTTGACAAAAAAAAAATACAAGATTTTTAACGAAAATTTTGGACGTGTTGGGAACGATTCAAAAATGTAAAAAATACCCCAAAATACTTTGATCTTTCTTCTTTAATAATAATATGAACATACGATGAAATTTTGTTTTCGTCAAGTTCGGCGTCTTTTTTTCATCTATGCTCTCCTTTTGTTTACATTTTCTTTTGTTTACATTTCAGAAATGATGCAACGGAAAATTGGAAACCGGAAAATTAGCAACAGAAAATTACGTAATTTTTGGGATTGTAGGAACATTAAGCAACTATGGAATAAATATCGATTGAAAATAGATTTTAGGATCGTTCTATACGGAGATATAATTTTAAATAGAAATAAGCGCTTCTCCCCAAATAATATTTAAATGACTTTCTATTCGATAGTTTAAAAACTTTCGAATTCCTTTCAAGTTTCGAACAGTCATGATATAACTGATTTTTCGAACTATTAATAAAATATTAAAATATAAATGAAATATTTACGAATAAACCGAAATGTATTATGATGGATTTAAATTTTGGTAATAGGATTTTAATTTATTACTTTTTATTAATATAATAATTGTAAAGATTATACAAGAACTGTGTTCTTAGAACGAACATAACTTTTAAAAATCGATTTATTTTTTTTTAAAACAAGAGTAAATATTTTAAAATATGTATCTTTCGGCACTTAAATCCTATTTAAAACGATATCCTCTTCAAGAATACTTTTATATAAAATCTATCTTCAATTGACATTTCTCCATAGTTGCCCAATTTTCCTAAATTAAAAGTAAAATATAAAAAGTGATTTTAATTTTTTGATTCATTTATTTTATGCTGTTGGGATTCTGTCTTTTTTTTTTTTTTATATGGTGGGTTTTGTCCGATGTGCTTTTGTTCGTTCCCCTAGCCAGCATTGGCAAACATTAAAAGTGGTTATCAAAAAAGTGTGAAAATTGTTTTTTGACAACTTCAAAGTCTTGGCGTCAGATGAATTGGACATTAATAGAATTAATGAATTCAAACTTTTCGCACCTATACGCGACAACACGTTTTGGCGTCATTTCTTCTTTGATTTCAGTTTATGTGTGATAATCTTCGGTGGTGTGCAACAAAAGATCAAAGACATTAATCCGAGGGCCGTTTTTTACCTTGTTCCAATCATTCTTTGAACCTTTAAAAAAACATTCGTTTGCTAACAATCCATCTTTGTGTAATTTTTTTTTTTTCTTGATTAAAACATTTTTTTTGCTCTGTCGACCCATCGCTGGGATGTGCTAGTGGAATAAACAGGTTTAACAGTGAAGAGACTGTCTACAACTCGCTGGAGTGCACATGCTGACGCTGTGAAGCCAGTGATACAGAAGTTTAACCAGTTTTTAGAAGCCATTGAAGCCCTATTAAATGTCGAAGAAAGCGACGAGACAAGAGGCGCTGCGCACAATCTGTTGCCAGCTATATGCGACTTTTTTTTATTTCTTTTCTTTTTTTTCTGGAGTGATGTTTTAAAGAAGTCAACTTTTTCCAAATTAAACACCAGGTATTACAATTCTGGACATGGTTGCTATCAAATTAAGGGCTCTCAAGGTCTTTTTGGAAGAGCAGCGTACAAATGTTGAGAGTGCCGTCCAAATGTGAAGAACTTGATATTTCTACAGAGAAGAGAATCAGAAGAAAGATAAGAATGCCAGGAGAGAAACCAAGAGATGCTGGATTGTCATTGCAGCAGGAGACTAAGAGAGCAATTTTGAGTGTCTGGACCGTTTCCATATCGAGTTGGATACCAGACGAAAGGCAGTGAATGACTTTTTGCTGACATTTTGTGCCGTTCAGTCAGACCATATTATTTGTGCCAAAGACGAAGAAATACAATTGTCTGTTGCCAAGCTCACTGCTGTGTATGATGAGCTGTCTGAAAAAGAACTTTGTTTAGAAATTCCACGTTTAAGGCAACACCTACAAGCAGCCGAAATAAACTTGGAGGAAGCCAAGCAGTAGACTGTACTGCAGTTCCTGCAGTTTATCATCAAGTGGGACTTTGTTGAGTCATTGCCATATCTTACGCTGACTCTAAGATTCTTTCTGACAATATGTATTTCTGTGGCATCGTGTGAAAGAATTTTCTTCAAAATGAAACTTATAAAAAATTACCTCCGGTCAAACATGAGCCAGTTAAGACTGTCGGATCTGACTGTGCTGACCAGTGAAAACAAGCTTACAAGACAAACAGATTTTGACGATGTCATTGACCAGTTTGCCACAATGAAAACAAGAAAACATTCATTCTAAGATCATAGTATCGAATGTCATTCTTTTGTGTATTGCCGTGTTTTGTATTATTTTGTGGTATTGGATTTTGTCTTTGATCATACATGTAAAAAGTAACGTACCGGTCAGTAGAGTAAAGTAGAGGTAGAGCATGTATGATAATTTAGCTACAGCTAACCATTCAACATAGGGTGAATCGGGGTCATTGGAGTGACATTTGAGCGGACGCCCCCGGGGTGACGTTTACTCTAACTACGCCACTGGATACCCAATCCCGCGTATGAGGGGTCTACGGGCAATTTTTGTCCGAGCTCACGGGCTCGGATTTCTCCACATTAAATTTAGCCTTGTGCCACATCCTACCTCGAGGGGAGGCAGGTAAATATCGTAATATGCTGTCTAGAGTAGTCCACCACTAACAATGGTTTACCTACTCCACGCCTCTAGCGAGTATTGTATTTTGTTGATGTTATAAAGATGACCATTTCATTTCTAACCTCCGTTTTGATTATTCCTCATTCAGTAATCCTTTCTAGGTTACAACAATTGGACAAACAACCAGATAACCAAGTTAATAAGCCCAATATTGATGTATAGTGCGGGAAACAGAATTAGACCAGAAATAGGACACTAGAACAAGAAATGTGGTATTTATTATCGGAATCATATAGGGGCGAACAATACAAATATAAAAGGGTGTAGACTTATGTTTGATAGATGAAGCAAAATCCTTTTGCCAAGATACATCATAAAGATATATTTGAACTGTTAGAAACACTCGATCTATTTAGAAAGGATGCCAGAATAATCCAGAACATATACTCTGAAGAACGACGAACAAAAAGCGATCATCTTTACTTTTTATTCATTTTGCCTCGTTCTTGTTCTTTGGATTCAAACATTTCTATTTCAATTGGGCATTAGTCTTTTCTTCGCGCTTTCTTTTATTACCTTGACGGGGATCTACACTTTTCTTTCAGTGTCTGCTATCGTTGCTCTCTACTCATACGCGTTGCAATTTTATAATTGCATTCGCAGTGTAAACATAACCTTTTAATACTGACATAAAAACTTGTGACGTTTATTAAATAAAATCTATTGGTGCCTTCAGCGTTTTAAATTCGCCATGTTTAAGACGATATGTTGGAAGTCTACTTACCCATTGCGATCATCATTTGATTTCATACGTGGTTAGCAGCATTTACTGCTGCTATCTGCTGACCAATATAAACGGAGAGCAGGATGTGCAAATAATGTAATGGATATCGACGTTGACTTTGTTTTCTCTTTGCACTTTGAAACATTGTCGGTTTTATTGGCTGAAATGAGTTTTTTAATTAGTTTTAAGTTAGGTGATTTTATTACATGACAGTTTTGTTGAGTTATTTCATATCGATATTTTTGTATATGTCAGTAAATGACTGGTATTAGTAATGGTCAATCAGTAGAGACACAATAACCATTGATCCATACTGATGTGTCTAGATAGATAGATAGATAGATAGATAGATAGATAGATAATGAACAGACCTAGATAGATAGATAGATAGATAGATAGATAGATAGATAGATAGATAGATAGATAGATAATGAACAGGCCAAGAGAGAAAGATAGATAGATATATAATGAACAGACCGAGATAGATAGATAGATAGATAGATAGATAGATAGATAGATAGATAGATAATGAACAGACCAAGGTAAATTGATATATAGAAAATGAAAAGACCAAGAGTGATAGATAGATAGATAGATAGATAGATAGATAATGAACAAGCTAAGAGAGATAGATAGATAGATAATATATAATGAACAGACCGAGATAGATAGATAGATAATGAACAGACCAAGGTAAATTGATATATAGAAAATGAAAAGACCAAGAGTGATAGATAGATAGATAGATAGATAGATAGATAGATAATGAACAAGCTAAGAGAGATAGATAGATAGATAATATATAATGAACAGACCGAGATAGATAGATAGATAATGAACAGACCAAGGTAAATTGTTATATAGAAAATGAATTTTTTTTTTTTGATAGATAGATAGATAGATAGATAGATAGATAGATAGATAGATAGATAGATAGATAGATAATCGATAATGAACATACCAAAATAGATAGATAAACCTCTGTTTTTGGCATTTTCGTAGAATATTGTAAATACAAAGGCATGTCGCCTCCTATTAGACTAATAAATGAATACAGAACTAGTTCAAGGCTCCATATATACTCCTACTGCTCATACTGGCCATAAGCCGATAATAATTTTGGACATTTTAAGTTCTGGATCTTCTGGTATGTTGTCTGAAAAAGTTTTATTAGTTGTACAGATTTTTATTTTCTTTTAAAAGGAAGATATCGACCACTAAATCTGTACTTGTAATATTCCACGGTCGGATCAGTGTTTGTAACTTTACACACGATTAAGCCGGACATCACCATTAACCTTTCCCATAAACTTGGCGAAATTACCGTCTGCGGACAAATCTCCGCCAAGTGGGTGGTTAATATTTCAAAGTTCCTGTCCAAGATCTCCCAATGCTGCTTTTTATTCAAATAGGAATGTCGTCATAAATTCCTGAATTGTCCCAGTCGCCGCAAAGAATTGAGGAAACACTAAGAGGAAAAGTGAACGACTCAAAAGCTTGGAAATGTGTCTATCGTAAGAAAAGAAAAACGTAGTTGTAACGACGATATGAGAAATCTTTATAATTTGTATTGAAAATATTAAGTGTTTTATAAATCTGAAAGAGTTTGGGGCATTAATTCAGTAATATTACGTGTTATGAAAATTACAATACGCTGTATTTCAAAATCGAAAACATTAAATAAATGAAAAAGCTTGAGGGTAATCAAATTAAAGTGAGGATTACTTTCAAGTACAAGAGCAATTAACTAAAGATATAACGGGTGTAACAGCAAAATTGTCCAAATCGTGTAACAGCAAAATTGTCCAAATCGTGTAACAGCAAAATTGTCTATTTCTTAGAGTAAGATCTGAACCGCTGTATCTAAATAAATGATTAAAGATATCTTACTGGAATTCTCCAAGATTCTTATACCACTATTGAATCCTACTTTGAGCAATAAGAATGTATAATTACTTTCTAACCTTAACAGAATTATCGTGACCCAATCGAACATAGATGAAAATGACATGGACATTTTTCATCATTAATTAATCATAGCTAAGGACCGGAAGCTCATGGGTATTGAAATAAAGTTCAAAATATATATATATATATATATATATATATATATATATATAATGGACTCTCCTGTCGGTTTTCGACGTATGAGGATCTGACAGCTTAGTTGATTCAGTTATGAAATTTTGTGCGATAATCTTAAGTGGCATTTAAGACCCGCTAGTGACTTACAAAGGACGCCACATATGGAGCAAGTGTGAGGATTGTGAGATGAGTTCATTGTTAGATTGGCTGACCTATTAGATCTTGCTCTCGCTTCTTGAAAATGATTCAGACAAGCAGATTGAAAATTGCTGAGTCCACTAAACACACACACACACACACACACACACACACACACACACACACACACACACACACATATATATATATATATATATATATATATATATCATTCAAGATCATTTTCCAATTTATTCAAGATGGACTTCGTCCTCTTTAACCTTCTAACTTCCTGTCCAAGAGAACAAGTGCCTCACAAGTTCTACATACGATTTCATTTTCAAGTCTTTTTTCACGTCTTTTTGAACTATCATAGCTGAAACTTCTCTCACACGCACCAAAAAAAGCTTATGAACTGAATTGGATCTTTTCTAATTCATCTCTTTAGATCTAAGTTGAAATGATGATTTCTCTTTCTGGTGTGACCTCCTGATGCAGTTTTCTTCTTTGCTGTTTTCTCTTTCTTAAACGCATTCACAGTTCTCTTGATCGTTCTTGAAGAGACTTTGAAGATGGAGGCAGTGTATAAATGTTGCTACCATTACTGAAGGCCTGAAGGATCTTTTCTTCTCACCATTGCTCATTTGGAAAGACTGCGGGTCTGACACAAAACAATTTTAACCTGCTCTAGTTTTAGATGGATAACTCAAAGGGTTTTCCAGTGATTCTTATGATAAATGGTGTCAAGAAAACCTGAAATCCCGGTAAAAAGAAATTCAATTAGTTTCGTGTTTTTTTTTTTTTTTTTTTTTTGTTTAGATATTAGACATTTTGTAGGATGGATAATTAGCTTTTACATATATATATATATATATATATATATATATATATATATATATATATAGTTTTATGGGTTTTTTTTTAATTCTTACCTACCCCCCCCAAAAAAATCTTTGAATATACGAGGAAAAAAATACCGTAAGAATTTTAGCCGTTAACAATAAAATTTTAAAAATATCCAGACGACACGCTTTTTAACGGATGTTAGATTTCATTGAAAAATACACCCTTACCCACTACCAAAACGTAGCAATAACTGATACATTAAAATATAGACATATTGAACAAACAGACACCCCTCGTCTAGTAAAATGAATTCATCTGTAACCTTGGAAACATGAATTATGATTTTAGCTGTGTCTTTAAAACCCAGTAATTTTAAAATTTACTCCAAAATTCGCTTGAGGATGAAATGGAACTAATGTCTTTAATTTAATTACAAAATTAAATTCGGTGCATTTAGCTTCCATTTTTGAAACATGGTTAGAACTGTGTAGCGAAAAAAAACATATTTTAAATCAATTAATTTATAATATTAATGCTCTGTAAATTTACATTGAGCACTATTTTGTAAAAATAAAAATATCTATAAGAACACCGGATTATATATCTTACTGTTCTTTCTTTATATATATATATACAAATTTTTCCACAGAATTGGCATACCCAATCAGTTTTGTTTACAGTGACATTATTCGGGTACACACTAGGTTTTGCACATTTATGCAAATGTCTTTTGAAGCCGGCAAAAGATAAGCACAATTTTCCGCATATGTTACAATGAATGTGGTGAATTTGTGGACCCAGTGCTGGACCCTGTTCGCCTTTACGAATCAGACGTTTGTAGGCACTGTACTGCATACGGCTATTCCCAAAGGACTCGATGCCCTCGTGAATTAGTTTCCGCCACTTACTTCTATCCAAAGCCATTTTTCCCATTGGTCTACAGATAGTCCAGATTGTTTCAGATAAGATTTTATTGTGTCCTTAAATCTCTTCGGCTTTGATGCATTTCTCTTTCCTTCACACATTTCACCATAGAACAGCTATTTTGGTAGACGACTCTCATCCATACGCGCAATGTGACCGACCCATCGGAGACAGTTTTTCATTACCATCGACTGAATGCTTGGTAGCCCTGCTTTCTCTAATACTTCTGTATCTGAGACATGGGACTGCCATGTGATATGAAGTATCTGTCTCAGACACCGTTGATGGAAGCCCACAATAAGTTTTATTTGATGTTTATAGTTTCGCTTGCATACAGGAAATTTAAAATCAAAACACATACTTTGTATACAAAATTTTCGTATGTAACTTGATACCATGCTGGGACCACACACGTTTTTTAAGTGCTGAAAAAAGACCAAGAAGCCCTTTCAATGCAGAAAGAGATTTCTCTATTTGAGGCTGCATCCCTTCAGAGAGGGTACTGCCAAGATATACAAAAGAATGTACTGCGTCTAATTTATTTCCTTCAACGAAGATAGTTGGTTCAATATAGGGTGATCCGGGTGCTGGATCTACATGACGACTGTCTTTTTTGGTTGATCCTTAAACCGAATGAGTTACATGCAGATACAAAATGGTTCATAAAGCATTGCAGCTCATCTTCAGAATGTGCAACGATGTCACAGTCATCCGCGTAGAGCAGCTCCCTCACCAATGAGGAAGAGACTTTTGTTTGAGAAAGTAGTCTACGGACATTATATGCACTGCCAGATGTCCGATATCTGATGTAAATACCGTTTGGGTTTTCATAGAAGGCCACGAGAAAGACTATGGCGAAGTAGATATTGAATAACATGGGAGAAGAAATGTCACCCTGTTTGACGCCATTGTTTATAGGTATCTCTTCAGATAGAGTGCCATTAAAGCTAATTCTAGCCTTCATTCCGTCATGAACGAATCAGACCCACAAATTTCTCAGGACAGCCCAGCTTTGATAAGATCTTCCAAAGAGTTGATCTGTTTACGGTGTCAAATGCTTTTGATAAGTCAATGAAATACTGGTATAACGGAAGATTTTGTTCTTTGCACTTCTCCTGCAATTGCTGAGCACTGAAAATCATATCCACAGTGACGCGGCTTGCACGGAAACCACACTGTGATTCTGGTAGTATTCCATTGACAATTGTGTGGACTAATCTATTTAAAATAATCCTTGAAAAAAACCTTTCCAACATTTTTTACAGCAAAAGATATACCCTAAAATTGTCGCAGTCCGACCTGGAACCCTTCTTATACAAAGACACAAATATTGCATCTCTCCAGTTCTGAGGTACTTCACTTACCCATGGATTTTGGATGACTTGCTTCAGGAGATCGATCATTCTCTCACCGCCATTCTTTAGAATCTACTGTTATACCATCCATTCATGGCGCTTTTTGTTATTTTTCATTTGACTCACAGAAGCTTCTATCTCACCTCTGAAGGTACTCCATCAAGAGTTTTTAAAATTGGCTCGTGTTTTTAATGAAGATCTAGTACAGATTCATCAACGACTGGATGGCAATTAAGGAGTTTTTATAATGTTCACACCATCGTTTCTTGATATCCTCTGGTTGTCTCAATATGCTACCGTCTTTTGTGTTTGAGAGGAGCAAAAGTTGATTAATGCGGACCATAGAGCTTTTTGATTATTTGGTAAAACAATCTGGAGTTTTTATATATATATATATATATATATATATATATATGATATATATATATAATATTTTTTGTTTAAAAAATGATGATTCCTTCGCTACATTTTTCTCATGTTTTCAAAAATGTAGCCGAAAATTATTTGAATTTTAAATTAATTTAAAAAAAATTTTTATATATTTCGTAATTATATATATATATATATATATATATATATATATATATATATATACACCCAAGGTAGTGTAATGGATATTTTAACTCGCTCATTAGTGAGTTCGATGCTCACTGGGTGCCCCATTCTTTCGGCCTTGTGCTACGTCTAAGCTACGCTTGGAAAATCATTAGATAGATAGATAGATAGATAGATAGATAGATAGATAGATAATTGCAAACTATGACTATAAACCAAGATGCAATAATAAAAGATAAGCCCCATCAATGTCATTTATCAAAGGGCTACACATTCACCTGATAGATAGATAGATAGATAGATAGATTTTTTGACAATAATGTCAACACTGTACAAAGCCCAGGGGCCACTCTATGTAGGCAATAAAGACATGAGCCCTTCTTGTGAGAAAACCCGATCATCGCGATAGTTTAAAATTCAGGGCCCGCTCGATGATAATAAAAATATAGTTTGAAGGTATGTTATATTAATGGATAAAATTGCTCAATATTAGTGACAGAGCGTATGTAAATATAAATGTGAAGATTGAAGTCAACACCCAGAGGCAAGAGCCTGTTTCATGCTTAAATGAAAATCTTCAATATATATATATATATATATATATATATATATATATATATATATATATATATAAAGGAAGACGTTATAGTTGTTCCAACGAGAGAAAATTGTGTATATTGAAAAGAAGAGAGATACCGCAAACGTTTTTGGTTGTAATGTCGTGTTTTTTTTTTAAATATTATGCTTTATTTTCCATAATTTTAACTTGCTAAGTAGGTGTAGATTTTTTGTAATTTCTGTGAATAGTTCTGGATTGTTCTTGTTGTATGTTGAGACATATGCTAGATTTTGTTTGACGTTACGTTTCTTTTTATTTCTAAGTTGATCGAGAGGAATGTTTTTTGCGAGTTCAAAACCTTTGTTTATTGTGAGGTAGCCTCGTTTTTTAGAGTTTTATGTAGTTCTTCTATGCGGGTTTTTCGGAGGTGTTTATCAGTAACTATAGTACAAACCCTACGTTCTAAACAATAAATGATGAATTTCAGGCAGCTTTTTGGGTGATGGTTCTTGAAATGAATATATTGTTGGGTATCTGTAGGTTTGTGGCAGATATCTGTGATTATGTGGTCGTTTTTATTTCTAATGAGTATATCTAAAAATGGTAATTCGTTGAAATTATATTCTTAGGGTTAATTTTATTTTTGGGTGTAAGTCCTGAAGTAGAGTGTGGAATTGGTTAATATCACCCCATGAGGATTTCCAGAAAATGAAGCAATAATCTAAGTATCGTTTCCAAGATTTAGTGAATTGGGTTTTTATATTTACCCCATATATTTGTTCTATCCTTTCACACACACACACACACACAGATATGTATATATACATATATAAATAATAATAATAAATATAAATATATAAATGTATATATAATAATAATATATATATAATAAATATATATAATAATAATAAATATATACATATATATATATAATAATAAAAATAAATTTGTTCCTCAGCGTTTGGTACCACACTTTTCTACTCTGCGCTTTTATATATATATATATATATATATATATATATATTACATAGAAGGAAAGTCCAAATTTACCTTATTCGAATTTCAACCAACGAGAAGACCTATATTGGCATTGTTAACTCAGAGGTATGAAAGAATAAAATAGGAACTCAAAATTTAAACATTCAAAAAGAAAAAAGAAGAAAAGAAAGAAAAGAAAAGAAAAACAGAAAGAGAGAAAGAAGACAAGAAAGAAAGCGGGGGGTGGTATTGAGTTAAACCAGCACCCAGTATCATGGGAGGGGAAGTGGAAGTGTCTGCCTCAAAGAAGCAGTTAATATAACCTTGACAGATATTTTAAAATATTAACATCCCAAGTCAGATGGGAAAAATATCACAAAATTAAAGATACAAGTTCAAACAATTTTAAAAATTAAAATAGAAAGTAGTGAATATTATATATATATATTTTCTCCTTTTTTAAGAAAAAACAAAACTTTCAAATCTATGCAAGCAAAATATATAAGAAAAATAATAACCATAAATAGATAGTTTATATGAAGAAAAATTAGTTTAAAATATTTAAAAGTTAGGAAGATTTTTAAGAATATTAAGAAAATGTATGTAAAATAGTAACATCTAAAATTAAAAAATAAAATAGAAATAATAAATAAATATAATACACACACACACACACATAAAGCTCTAAAAATAATGGCTACAAAAACCCCAAAACTAACTTATATCAAAAGGAAAATGGACAACATAGAAAAAACAGAAGTAGAAAAATAATTTGGTATACACCCCCATAGAACCAAATGGTAAAGAACAAATTAAGACAAACATTCCTTGCATTAATAGTTAAGCATTTTTCCTCCGTAAACTTAACCTCTTTTTCGAACGTAACTCATAATTGATACAACAATAGTTCATAAAATGAACATATACCGCCCTGTCTGAATAATTGGATTTCTCTGTATCCTTGGAAACAGGAAATTATGAATTTTTATGTGCGTTTAAAACTCAGTAAATTTAAAAATAAGTTATTTCAAAATTCACTTGAAGATGAAACGGAACTAATGCTATTAATTTAATTATATAATTAAATTTGAAGTTTTTAGCTTCAGTTTTTAAAACATGGTTATTACTGTGTTGCAAAAAAAACATATTTTAAGTCAGTTAATTTATAATATTTATGCTCTGTAAATTTACACTGAGAACTGTTTTGTAAAAGTAAAAATAAAAAAATATCAATAAGAACACCGGATTATATATCTTACTGTTCTTTCTTCATATATATATATATATATATATATATATATATATATATATATATATATATATAACTGTTAATTTGAAATAGTATTTTGGAAGCCAAAACTCTTTGTCTTACAGTGGTTTAATTGAGTGTTAATTGAATTAATATGAAAAAGTTTTTTCACTTAATTCATGTTTAATTTGGAGTTTCTTATGTATATAGGTAAACCACTCATCAGAACAGATTTAAACTGCTGTCATTTCTCGATGCCCTTGTACTTTTATTCTGCTGTGAGAATGTTGTGAATCAATGAAAAATATAAAAGAAACAATTAATTGAATTAACAACACTACCAACGAAAAACTATTCTTTCATACAACTAAAGTATCAAACACTAAATAAAATTAAATAATACAACCTACTAAAATATGTTAAAGCACTAATGAAAGTTAAATAATAAAACCGACTAAAACTACATATACAGTTAACACAAACATACACACAAACAAATACAAACGCACAATCAGACGCACAAGGCAGTTAACACATGTACAACACACAATAAAAATATATGCACACACAAAAATTAAGCCATAGCCTAAACCTAAATTGTTAAAACAACACCAAAGTTAAGGAGTATACTAAACATAAACCAATGAAAAAATACAATAGAAATAATTAACTGTTCTTTCAAGCAACTAAACACAAGTAACATTTGATAAAATTGGAATATGCATACACCTGTGTTCCCCATCACTGGAATACAATTGGCTGGTGTCCGCCATAAATACAGACGGACGTGTAGGTACGACAGAGTTTAAGTCTATGACGACGCCCATTGGTCTACGCCATTGGGTACCCTATTTGTGGCACCATTTACGAGGCAGAGAAAGGAAAAGAAAGAAAAGAAGGCAGAAAGAAAGGCGAGACGAATCGTGGGTGATAAGCAGACACAAACACGGCTAAGAGACAATGAAAATATTGATAAGTAACAAATGGCAAAAAGGGTGTCATTACAAGGACAGGGAAATTCTGAGTAAAAAGAAAAGAAAAGAAAGAAAAGAAAGGAAAGAGAAGAAATTCTGAAAAAAGAAAAGGGTGTTTCAGATGTGTTTTGATAACGGCTGTGTTATCTAGGGGTACGTAAACAAAACGGATGGTCGACTGGCGAACGAAAAATTCAATTGAAAACGTTAATTTTGATAATTGACAAAACACAGGTGTAACTACAGGACTTTCGGTAGATATGAAAAATTAAAAGCCACACAAGCCGTGTCCGCTGACCGATTTTTTTTCGACGAAACAACTTTGGCCTGCGATAATAAAATTATGTTATCAGAAATATGTACCGAAGGAAAAATGAATGGGGACCCAGAAGTGTTTTTTCTTCTTCCTTGGAGGCGACAGACTGACTGAAACTTTAGAGATATTTCTTTTTTGAGGCCGTGTTAAGAAGACCACCCATTTTGATAATTAGCGATAAAATACCTGACAAAAACCACGTGTAGAACAAGAGTTGTCATATTGTCCGTTTGCGGCTAGAAAAATGATAACGGCGATTAAAGCGGAAGAAAAGGAAAAGAAGAGAATTTTTTTTAGTTAAGCAAGATTTTTTTTTTTCCCAAAAAAAAGCCGCGGATTGTTCACGCCCGACTAAGACATCATTGGTCAAGTGGTGATCACGTGACGCACGAAGGAGGAGGAAAGATACCCGACTAAGAACTCATTGGTCGAGTGGTGATCACGTGACGCCCGAAGGAGGCTCTCGACGCCTCATCCAGAGTATAAGTATGAGAAGCTGCTACGAAGAAGTGGGGAGGGCAGTTCACGCCCTCTGAAGTATGGTGAGAAAGTGGGAGTGAGGAAAGGTTCCCAAAAATGGAAAAGAGTGGAAAATCCCTAACCAGAAATAAAAGAGGTGGATATGTATTTAGAATTATCGAGGAACCCCCGACGCCGACAGACCCACCCCGGTTTGGGTCGGCGTCCAATAAAAAGCGAGGCCCCAACAGACAGAAATCAGTCAGAGGCTCCAGCGGAGAGTTGAGTTTCAGATTTGAGTTCCAGCAGTTGAAGTGAGTTCAGCTGACCAAGATTCACGCAAATTTCGGACTCCTCTTCAACCCAAGAACAATTATTTTGAAGAGCGACTTAGAACCAGACCACCGAAATAAGTTTTTTTTCGACTTTCGTCCAAAGACACACCGAAACACCAATTTCTTAGAGAGCAGACAACTTGAAGCGTTAAAAACTTGCCTAACGGAAAACGACGTGTCACAATCCACAGAACGGGTCGGGAGATAGATGCAGTCCTATGTATCGAACAACTAGACATAAAGTTTGTTACCTTTTTCTTTGATACTTTGAACTTTTGAGTTTTCATTTTTTTTCTTTTATGCATATTTGTGTAGTATCACCCCCGTTGAACTCAGTTTGCATTACAGCCCCAACCACTGTTTGATCTCGTCTGTCTAAGATCAATTCACAACGTGGGTAGGCAGACTGGAGATCAATGCAGTTACCTTTTGGTAACCAGCCGTTGGAAGCGAGTTGGGAACGACGAGGCTGATATCAAATCTAACCAGATCCCCACCCGAATCACCAAAAGGTTAGAACGTCACATTTGGGTGCCGCGACCAATACCAAGCCAGTTGGTCGTCACAGGACGAGACAACACGACTGACGCGACAAGCGGACGTCACGTTTGGAGCAGCGACACCCGAACGGAGCAGCGAGGAGCGAACAGCTGGCGCCGCGGCAGGTGACCAGTCGGCGCTGCGGATAGGACGTGGTGCTGTTTGGGGACGTCACAACTGGTGCCGTGACCATAGGATAGGACCCTGGAACAGCCACTGCCACAATTAGTACCGTGACAGCAGGACAGGATCCTGGATCGACCGCTGTTGCTGAGAAATTTCGAATAGGACTCAAAACGACCCGGGACCGAGAGGAACGAGAACAGAATCGTCTGTAAGGTAGGACATTTTGTTTGATTTCCCAACCTCGATTGTTGCTGCGTAGATTGTCTTTCTCTTTAAATATGTCGGACTATGATTCAGATAGAGCAATGGGGGATGAAGAGGGGGTTAGACAAGGGTTGTCCACTGACCTAAGAAGGTTGTTGGGTGGACCGAGGGTCCCAGCATTTGACGTCAGTGGGAAAGATTTCAAAAACTGGCTGGCAATCCTGGAGAAGAGCCGAGTTATATATGAACTCACAGACCACGAAACCCTGTATCTGGCATACGATGCCACAAAGGGGGAAGCCTCTGAGTTTATGAAGGAGCTCTTGGAGAGTCAACCCCACTTGTCTTGGGAAAGATTAAAGGGATTATTGACCAAGGAATTCGCCGACGAGGGCACGGCTATAGAGGCCATGAGGGCCCTCCTAAAGCTGACACAGCTGCGGGACGAAACCCCTGGAGAATTGGGGGCCCGAGAAGGGAAGCTGTCATCATTGGCCTTCCCAGAAGTGGTTAGAGACAATGCGGTCATGCAGGCTCAAGTAGCAGATCTGTATGTGGAGGCGCTAAGTGACGAGCGTGTTCGTCACGACGTGCTGAAAGAGGGACCACTGAGACTATCGACAGCAATAGAGCTGGCCAAGGAGAGCCAGGGCATATGGGAAAAGGTGAAAAGGTGTGGAAGGAAACAGATACTAAGTCAAGAGGTCGGAAGAAGGGGGAAGGCGGAAGACCCCCGCGTGGAATCGGAAGGTCAAGCCAGAAGTAGATCAGCCTGAGGTGTGGAAGAAGACCCGAATAGAAAGGCATGGTCAACCAGGCATGGGTTTTATAAGCCCACGCCGGGTAGATACGGGCTGGTCTGCTGGACCTGTGGACATGAGGACCACAGAGCGGCGGAATGTCCGACGAAGTGGGGTTTGACCCCAGACTTCGAACAGGACAGGTGCACCAGGTGTGGAAAGAAAGGACACCTGGCCAAGTGGTGCGGGCTGAGAAAAGGTGCCCCACCGATATTAAACAAAGAAGGCCGAGCCCAAGAGACAGGACCAGGGAAAAGCCAGCGGGCCACCCCGGAATTAAGGAGGGTGGCCCAGTTAAAAGAAGGGAAATAAAAAGCTTGGACCAGTGGTCGGGCGGGCCGCTTCGGTAGAGGACAGGTCCCCCCGGGAGTAAACGGGAGGTTAGGCCAGTTGAAGAGAGAAAGAGCAAAATGTTGGACATGTGGTCAGGTGGGCCACTTTGCGGTGAACTGTCCGGCAAGAAGGTGCTGGTTTTGTGGGAGACAAGGGCACCTGAAGAGAAGCTGTATCCTTAGGAACAGCCGCGGGAGACTGGGAGAGGTCCAGCCGGGGCCGCCCAGGTGCGGGGAGCGCAGAACTCCCCCGTAAGAATAATGAAGGTGATTTATTGCTACCGGCGCCTATGGCTGGGATGACCCAGGAAAAAGGTGGGAACCCAGGAAGAGGAAAGCCAAGTGTTCTCTTCGCTGACGCAAGAGAAGGAGCTATCCTGTAGGGCAGAGATGGGGGGGTAAGGCGATGAAAGCTCTGGTAGACACAGGAGCATCTGTGTCATTGCTGAGAGAGGAAGCATACAGGCGGGTGAAACGGAAGAGTAGGTTACGGGAAGCGGATATAGAGGTCACGCAAGCAGATGGAGCCCCCCCTGAAGATAAAAGTGATGGTGAAGAAAATAGGAAAAGGACCCCTGCAGTTGGTCCCTGTAGAAGAGAAAGACCTAGAAGAGAATGAGGTAACTCTGTGTGAGACGGTGGTGGAGGCAGCTGAATTAGTGCCCATTATGATGGTGAACCAGGCCCAAAAGACTATAAAGGCTAGGAGAGGGGAAGAGATAGGGAAAGCGCTTCCCCTACGGTCTGTGAATCGGGTGAGATTCGAAGAGGAACGAAGAAAACTTATAGAGCAAACAGAAGGAATAGTGGACGAAGATATATTAGCACCGGATCAATTTAGAACCAGGGTGGGGGGTCTGCTGAGGAAAAATCGAGATGTGGTAGCCCAGTCAGACAAGGAATTGGGCCAGACCCACACAGTCAAAATGAAAATCGACACCAGAGATCACCCCCCTGTGAAATTAAAACCCTACCGGACACCTATTCATAAAAGACCCCTTGTAGAAGAGGCAGTAGAAGAGATGTTGGAAGCTGGGATGATCGAAAGATCGATCTCCTTGGAGCTTTCAATAGTAATAATGGGTAAGAAAGATGGCGGGCACCGTTTTGTGTAGATTTTAGGAAGTTGAATTCTATATCGAAGCCGTTGGCGGTGCCATTGCCACTAATAGATGACATATTGGCATTATTAGGGGAAGGCAAAGTACTTCTCTACGTTGGACTTGAGGTCCGGGTATTGGCAGGTAGCCCTTGATGGGGCTGACAAGGAGAAGGCTGCATTTGCGTGTCACCTAGGACTGTTCCAGTTCAGGGTGATGCCATTCGGTTTAGCTAATGCCCCGGGAATCTTCCAACAGCTAATGTCAATAGTGTTAGGAGGATACAGAGCTTTGCCATGGCATATTTGGACGATATCTTAATATTTTCGGAACAGTAGAACAACACTTTTTCCATCTAAAACAAGTGTTGGGAAGGTTAAGAAAACACGGCTTAAAATTAAAATTGTCGAAGTGTCAGTTTCTGAAGGGAGACCAGATATTTGGGCTTTGTTGTAGACGGAACGGTATTAAACCCGACATGGATAAGGTGAAAGTCATAAGGAAATGCCAGAACCTAAGACAGTGAGACAGGTAAGAGGTTTTATAGGAGCTATAGGTTACTACAGACGCTTCGTCCCGGCATTTTCGAGAATTGCCATACCACTAGTAGCCCTGACGAAGAAATACGCTAGGTTCAAGTGGACAGAGGACTGTCAACGGGCATTTGATACGTTAAAGGAACAGTTGACAGCCGTCCCCTGCTGACGTACCCAGACCTCAGCAAGCCCATGGTACTATACATTATGATGCCAGTGAGCAGTGTG